TCCTTTACAATACCATCTAATGACGGCGTTCTATGTGAGATTCCGAACTATCAATCTTAATGTCCATTTGACTTTCTCGATTACCATGCCGGGATCGAGATTCCCATTCGACCATCTCATTTGAACCGGATATGACCGGGCTCATTGCACGGTGGTTGTCCACTCATTTTCGTTTTGCAAATTTCTTATGTTTATGAGTCAGTTGATTAACGAGACTCCTGGCTTCTTTTATACATTACCGACCTCCCTTCCATTCTCATCCTCTTTACTATTATTCTGTTCGCCTTGTACCTGTGTCTTCTGCATGATTGGGCATCTGCAGTTTGTGATGACTGAAGTGACATATGACGATGATCCGCTCTCTTTTGCGTTTACGTCCTGCGTTTTGAGCGAGGATGTATATCACACACTACGTGGCAGGCCTATGGCTTGCCTAATTTCCTACTTTCCGTTCTCTTTGCCTTAAACTACCTTTGCCGTCTTTTTTAATGGATTCCCTGGTTGCGGAAACCCGGACGGCCTGGTATGGTCACTATTTCCTCCGTGTACTTTGGGCGTTTGATGATTTTCCCATATCCCTACATGTCTATGTAACCAATATCCCCTGGCTGTACTATGCGCCCTCTCTTCAGCGTTGCTTTCGATCCACTGTCAATTTCTCATCCCACTTCTTATGGATGTCGCTATGTGTTCTAGGCAGACAGGAAACTGCCGTATTTAGTCGAACAAAGTAATGTTGATGACACCTCAGTTTCTGGCAAGGTCGATTGGTATTGTTTGAAGATGCGACCTAACGTGTTCGTAGCGTGGCATATCAGCCCTTGTGGATCATAAAGTTGGTACCTGTTACAGTGCTGCTTGAGCAAGTCGGGGGGTTCGCCACCAGCCGCCGACGCCCATGTCAAGCTTGGCTCTCCGCCTCCCACCACCTTCCTCACCGCTCTCGCTGCCGCATTTGCATTCTCATCGGCAGCCCGTCGCCTCACTACGTGGTCTGTATCTTTATTCTTACCGTATGCGACTACTTTTTTTTCTTTTCTTTTCTTTCCGTTCTCTCTCTTTTTCTTCAGAAGACTTCGGTGCTGGCACGCGTACATGCTAGAGCTCTAGTGCAAGATCTCATGCTGGTGTCACATGGACGGCTAATGCTCCAGAAACCACGGCCGATTTATCCCTCTGCGCCTTGACCTTTACATTCTCCGTATGCCATACGTCATGGACCACAAAACATTCGTGTCGGACTCCCTACTACGCCTGACAAATGCATCAGATCCCACTGTGGTAGACTACGTACTCGCAACCGCGATCTCGGCAAAATCTGCTACCGAACTACATGACAAGCTTCTCCCTTTCCTAGACGGCAGTTCCGATGGTGTCGGATCATTCTGCGCAGAGCTTTACCGGCGAGTTGGCACAGGCGCGACGGTTGGATCTAGCGGGAACAGCAGTAATGCAACGAGCAAGAATCGTGTGAGCGCCGCAGCGAAGAAAAAGTATCGGCTACTGGACATGGAGGACGATAGTCCCGATATACGAGGATCGCTGGGCCCCTTGAACGCCGAGGCTGAAAGGGATCAACGGAGACGCAACGAGGAAGACAGACTTAGTGGCCGGATTGGTAAGGAGCCTGAAGCTCGCAGTCGCCGGGAAGAACACCAGACCCGGAAGCGTGACCGCAGCCGTGAGGAAAGGTTTAGAGACCGAGAACGTCCACGAACCAAAAAGCTGCGACAGCGTGTGGACGATTTCGATGCTCACTGGGGTGACGAAGAGATTCCAGAAGAGGAACTCCATGGCGGTGATGAGCAAGTCAGCGATTTGGAGGAGTCACCTTCCAAGCGGATCCAGCTGCACGATGAACCTGCATCCCCACGGTCTAATGTGTCTGCTGACCTGGATCCCGAGGAGAAGAAGGAGTTGGAGCGGAAACGAGACCTCGAGGAGCGGGATGAGTTCGCCAAACGATTGGCCAAAAAAGATGATAGCAAATCGAAGAAGATAGTGGAAGACCGGACTAGAGCGGGCGAGGCTGCCCGACGACGAGCTTTAGCTGACGACGCTTCTGCCCGGGAAGCCGTGATGCCTGAAATTCGGTTGCGATCGCGGCAAGAGTATCTCAAAAAACGAGAGACGGAACGTTTGGCTTTACTGCGTCGACAAGTCGCGGAGGAGACAGCAGAGCTACGTGATAATCCTACCTTGACACGACGGGAAAAGGAGGAGTTTGCTCGAAACCGAGAAGTTCTGCGGATTGCCGAGGAACGGCTCAAGATCGACGATTACCGGGATGGCTACATGATGCCGGAGGACTACATCACGGAAAAGGGCAAAATCGACCGGAAGAGAAAGGAAGACGCGCTCTACAAGCGGTATGTGGACCGTGACGAGCACGGTCAGGAGCGCTTCATCACAGAACATGAAGAGTGGGAGCTAGAGCAGACGGCCAAGGCCAAGGCCCAAATTAACCGTGCAGAATTCGTAGATGAAGGAGACTACGAATATGTGTTCGACGACTCACAAAAAATCAATTTCATCATGGACGCGAAGATGGAGGGTACACGAAAGCCCATGACGCAAGAGCAGCGGAGGCTTCAGGAGCAGCTAGACGCCGCAGAGAAAAAAATACAGTCAATGGAGGAAACGCGCAAGAGCCTGCCTATCTATCAATTCCGAGATCAAATCATTCAGGCGGTGCACGATCACCAGGTGCTAATCATCGTGGGAGAGACCGGTTCCGGTAAAACAACGCAAATTCCCCAGTACCTCCACGAAGCTGGCTTCACCAAGGGTGGCATGAAGGTTGGATGCACACAGCCTCGTAGAGTCGCCGCAATGAGTGTGGCGTCGCGTGTGGCCGATGAAATGGGGGTGAAGTTGGGCAACGAGGTTGGATACGCTATCCGGTTCGAAGACAATACAAGTGACAAAACCGTACTCAAGTACATGACTGACGGGATGCTGTTGCGAGAGCTTCTCACGGAGCCTGATTTGGGTCAGTATTCGGCGCTGATGATCGACGAAGCTCACGAGCGAACTGTACCAACGGATATCGCCTGCGGCCTTTTGAAAGACATCGCGAAGGCACGACCGGATCTGAAGCTTTTAATTTCCTCTGCGACGATGGATGCGCAAAAGTTCCAGCAGTATTTCGATGACGCGCCCATATTCAATATTCCGGGTCGCCGGTATCCCGTGGATATCCACTACACTTCCCAGCCGGAGGCTAACTACCTGGCTGCGGCTATCACGACCGTCTTTCAAATCCACATCACCCAGGGCACAGGTGATATCCTCGTTTTCCTGACCGGCCAAGAGGAGATTGAGGCGGCCGAACAGAGCCTTCAGGAGACTGCGCGAAAATTAGGGAATAAGATCCCGGAAATGATCATTTGTCCGATCTATGCCAACTTACCATCTGAGTTGCAGACCAAGATCTTCGAGCCTACGCCACCCAAGGCACGGAAAGTGGTGCTGGCAACGAACATTGCCGAGACCAGTCTTACCATTGATGGAATCGTCTACGTGATTGATCCGGGCTTTGTGAAAGAAAATGTCTTCAATCCACGTACGGGTATGGAAAGCCTGGTGGTGACACCATGCTCGCGGGCTTCTGCCAACCAAAGGGCTGGGCGCGCTGGACGTGTCGGTCCAGGCAAATGCTTTAGATTGTACACAAAGTGGGCTTACCATAACGAGCTTGAAGAAAGCACGACACCGGAAATCCAGCGGACGAATCTCAACAGCGTTATCCTGATGCTGAAGTCGCTCGGGATTGACCAGTTGCTTGAATTCGACTTCATGGACCCGCCACCGGCGGAAACGATCATTCGCGCCTTGGAGCAACTGTACGCTCTGGGGGCGCTGAATGACCGCGGCGAGCTGACGAAGATTGGTAGGCAAATGGCCGAATTTCCGACCGACCCTATGCTAGCCAAAGCGATCCTCGCCGCGGACAAGTACGGCTGTGTAGAAGAGGTCCTGTCGATTGTGTCAATGTTGGGTGAGGCCAGCGCCTTATTCTTTCGACCCAAGGACAAGAAGATTCACGCGGATAGTGCCCGCAACCGATTCACGATTAAAGATGGTGGCGACCACCTTACCCTGCTCAATATTTGGAACCAATGGGTCGACTCAGACTTCAGCTACGTGTGGGCAAAGGAGAACTTCTTGCAGCAGCGCAGTTTGACGCGCGCCCGTGATGTTCGTGATCAGCTTGCCAAGCTCTGTGATCGGGTCGAGGTGACGGTTAGCACCTGCGGGTCGAACAACCTGGTGCCGATTCAAAAGGCCATCACTGCCGGATTCTTCCCTAATGCGGCGCGACTCCAACGCGGTGGGGATAGTTATCGCACCGTGAAGAACGGACAAACAGTGTACCTGCATCCGTCGAGCACGTTGTTTGAGGTGAACCCACGGTGGGTGATCTACTTTGAGCTGGTCTTGACGAGCAAGGAGTATATGCGCAGCAACATGCCTTTGCAAGCCGAATGGTTGGTGGAGGTCGCTCCGCACTATTACAAAAAGAAGGACCTGGAGACCTTAGGATTGGAGAAGAAGATGAAGGGACAGGGGGCCGCTGGAGAAAAGAGCCGGGACTAGATGAGGCAAGGGACGCCAGGGCTCTTGTGTGGACTCAGATGATTGTGCATGGATGCATGTAATATATGTCATTATATGTGTTTCTGTTTGGATGATTACCATATGTATATGTCGGGTGTGTTGTTGGAAATGACAACTTGAAACATTTCTACTACGAAGATCAGCAAACCTCGGGTCAAAGATAGTCCGAAGAACATGTACTCCGTAACTTAACTATGTGCAAGTCAACTTGGAAGGAACTTGGTTGGGAGTGAGTGCCGCCCCAGGGACCCAACCAGCCAACCAGCCAACCAGCAACCCTGCATTGCAATCCCGGGTTGCTAATTACCTACTACGTACTCCGTACTTACTATGTAACTTAACTATACCGTCTAGGAGAAGCTGGAGACTAGTCGGGCAGTCTCAACTAGATTCTATTGCTGGACCTCGGCATGTTCCACTTTGACACTTGCACTCCCCGCGTTTCCACTTACTTGGTTTCCCCATTTCATCATCCACTTCCTTTTGACTTCCTGTTTTCACTCCTCCTGAAATAACTACTCCGTAACAATTAATACTATCCAACTCCCGCTCTCCCACTCACTTACACAGAGAAAGCCAGACCTACACACCGAAAGAGAAAATGTCTCAATCCTTCACCCCCACCGATGTCGCTGCGCACAATACCCCGGACAAGGGTCTCTACATCATCATCGACAACACCGTTTTCGATGTCACCAACTTCGTGGATGAACACCCTGGTGGCGCGAAGATTCTGAAGCGCGTGGCAGGCAAGGACGCTACAAAGCAGTTCTGGAAGGTTCGTTTTCTTTCATCCTCGATGGTCTTTGCCAGCCAGCCACCCATCCCTTCCTCCGGAAGCGAAGCCTGGGTGCCGTGTCGGGATCAGGTTTCCGTTCTTTGTCCCCGAGCCCGGTTCTCTCTCACACGCGCGCAACAACCCGTCCCTCTACCCGGCTCGTGTTGCTTCTTGTCCCTTCTTGTTTCGTTTCTTTCGTTTAATGCGACTCTGAGTTTACAACCGGGGCTGACTGGTCCTCTCTCGCGGGCCCCTTAGTATCACAACGAGGGTGTGCTGAAGAAGTATACGCCCAAGCTGAAGGTCGGAGAGATCAAGGAAGCCGCCAAGCTGTGAAACCGAAGCCAACTGCGGATAACGATTCGAACCCATAATTGTCTCTAAGATTGTCCTGTTTTTCTTTCCGCGGCTCTTCCCCTTGACCCCCAACGGAGGGTCCGTGTGGTTCCCTATGTCTCGATTCCTCGCTTCCGTGATAGAACAAAAGAAGAGCATGTACACATATACAGACAGAGGAACCGAACTCGTCTGCAGACACTGCAGCATGTGTTAATGGACTGTGAGCTAGAGAGAAGGATGAGGGGGGGATGATCATTTATATCATACTGCCTGGGCTGGCGATCTTGTGTGTGGAGGTCCCAATCTTGTTGCTGTGCATTATTCGAGCGGGAGGGATTATGGTTTTTATCAGTTCAATTATATTCTTTTCACCCAAAGACGGCATGTTTGCATCCAAAGAGGGTTACAATTTTGGGATACCTTCCGCACCCATAAAGGATAAGACATTAGACAATATCATCTTTGATAAGCGCAGAGAAGAGAAAGACAGACCGAGAGATGGTATCGAAGACGCTTACAACGCCTGCAGATCGGGTACGCTAGAATAAAAAAAGCAAATGCATGTAACATATCGGTTAAAAGAGGACAAAATAGCCTCTATTGCTACCGTTTCTGTGACGGTACAGATAGAGACGTTGCTGTCTCAACCTGCTCAGAACTCTGCAAAGGGGTCAACACGGCGAACAGGCTCACCGCCGGTTCGATGCGGAGAAGTAGGATTATGAGCCGCGCTCCATGTGCTAGATGCCTTCCGGCTGTGTCGGCCAGACGGAGGACCCCGGGTTTTGTTCGTTTGATCAATGAAGGCCTCCATGCGAACAGTTCCGATTGCATCGAAGAAGTTCCCCGTCCTCGCGCCAGTCTCAGAGGTACGTCGACTGACGCTGTTGGGTATGCTGTGAATTCCAGGCCCGTAAGACTGAGCGACATACGTGTCAGAGGAGCCTCGCGTGGACTCAACCGACGGTATTGAGCCTTGACTGGAGAAGCTCCGCATCATTGGCATCCGTGGCATGGTGTTGCTTCGTTTTCGCGAATGGTTTGAAAACCGTGGCACCGTCGGAGGGTCAGCAGCATCCATAGATGGATTAGACTCAAAGCCAGTAGGAAGCTCAGGAACGGGTTCGACTTGACCGAGGAAAGATCGTTTCCCCTTGGGTCGGGGCCGGGGCCGACCCTTGGCTATCCGGATTGAGTCACGGATTGGGTTGCGGCGGAGAGAGGGCGATGGGGCGGCTGCAGTGTCTTCATCCTGTGGCACGGGGGGCAGGGCAGCCAGATCATGAATACCACTAGGAGTGTGACTTAGGAAAGACAATGCCGTCAGCCAGACATAATGTCGTTCCACGCTCGTGGCCGTGAACTTGAGAGCACGTTGTGGCGTCAAAATGAGAATTGATCGATTAAAGTGACTCTGTGTATTTAATCCCTTCGGCAGCGGGTTGTCATCCTTGACGTCAAGAACGGACTGGATCATCACTGTAACCACGTTAGTCACGCCAGGTACTTATTGGGTCGCATAAGAGAGCACTCACACTTTCGGCCACTCTTGCCCAGCAGCGCAGGCCCACTCGTAGGCTGCTTGCTGCTCCACATGACGGCACGCTCATAGGGTGCCAGCCAAACCCAGCGCTTGTGCCTTACACCACTATTGGTGATATTCGCCGATACCTCATCGGCACTGCGCCCTTCCCAACTCTCTTTGTGCTCTCCAACACCACCGAATGATCTCCTCCTCCTTATGTATTTGTACATCCATTCCCCGACCATGGTCTGTGCGATAGCATCAACAACACTGGTGGGCTGGACGGATGTTGCTGTAGAATCTTGCCGTCCATGAGAAAAGGTGCGAGATGCTGTTGGAGCAAAAGCTGAGCGCCGTTGAACAGCTTGGCTTTCGGATGGGGCAGTAAATTCCTCATATGGAAGTGAAGGGTGCGGCGGACTGACAGGACTGCACGACGAAGTAGATGTCGGCGACGACCGGCTTTCAGGCCGTTCTGTCTGCGCCATGGCAGTCGCAGACCGCACACGCCGGAGGGTTGGACGCCGCATCACCCGCCCACGTCCACGATCGGAAAAAGTTCCAGGATTCGATGGTGTTGGACTTTGTTGACCATCACCTCGACGGGCGGGGAACTTTCTTGAACTGAGCCGGATTGGGACAGGAATAGGAGGAGCAATGTGGGAGGCACTGCTTGCGCGGCCATCATCAATACTAGGATCACTGGGGCTTCGAGCACGCGAAGTTTGACGAGCCGCTGTTCCATTGGGTACCATGGCTGCTTTGCGAAAGTTCTGTCTCCGGTGACCTTGTCCCATTCGCTGACTCCAAGAAGACCCGGGCCTGTCTTTAGTTTCGTAGTCTAGGGATACTTCTGGATCACAAGCCTCTGACTTTGATATATGCTCATCAATTTCGGCCAACACACCTCCGTCCAAGCTTGAGCCGTCTTGAGTTGAGACCAGCTTGCCTCTTTTCAGCGTATAAGAAGCGAATGGTCGATTTAGGAGATCGTCATCGGTGAGGACTTCGTTGACTTTATTCGGTAACTCTTCATCACTTCCCTGCTCAAAGCCAGCAAAGAGACTACTCGAGCGAAGTGGACGTCTGAGCTTGCTTTCAGATCCCTCTACCAAAGGACCATTGTCATTGTTGCCTGGATAAGCTTGTACCGTCGCAAGCGGCCCGGTTTCCTGATTAGGCTTGATTTCTCTCTTCTTAGACCGGGGAGGCGGTGGGCAGTATGGCTGAACAGGAAGATCCTCGGTCACATTGTAGAACGGCAGGTCTGGAATAGCGGATGGGAGCAAGCTAGCCGGCAATTTGACTGGCTGTTGACTTATCTTTATCTCTTCTGTTTGAATTCCAATCGCCCGACAGTCGGAATTCGAGCTAAAACTGGCTTGACAAGACACGCTCCTGGTTTGTGGTGGGAGAACTACGCTACCTCGAGGAGAAGGTGGTTCAGAGCAAGGAGGGTGTATTGCAATCATCGGTATCTCGAGACCCGACGCGCTCATGTCGCCGAGCGACACACTGATTCGCTGCTCATCAGGTTCCCCAACTGGATATTCAATTGTTTGCATGGAAGATGAAACCATCAAAACTGGTTTGGGTGCTTGGACATCGTCTAGGCTGGGTGTCCAAGGGGGTGTGGGGAGGCCTGCCACGGTTTGACAGGAAGCGGATACCATGTCGATGGTCAGAGTTGATGTACTGATATCTCTCACTTGGCACGAACACCGGCTTTCTTCACTCTCATTTTCGTCCGGAGCCCGAGCTGAGGCGTCGATCTCAGGTAGGCAGTCCGATGTGGGTGACGGAGGAAGAGAATACTGCACCCCGGTATCTCGATACACGAATGTGTTTGAAGAGAATCTCAGAGGGCTACCAGGCTCCGACACTGGTTCATTCTTGGCACCATAACCCTCCATGCTACCAAGCGAAAGTCCCAGGATTTTCCTAGCCTTTGCCCCCATGCTAATTGTGCTGGACAGCTGTGAATGTACCGAGACAGGCCGCTCCTCTGGTAGAGCCTCAGGAGATACAGGTCTGAAGCCGTGGTCGAAAGACTGAAACTCATCATCTTCATCAAAAGCAAGCTCTTGGGCCAAATTCAATCCTTCACCTTTGACCACAGGAATGTTGGTAACGCTTGCCATAGAGTAGCGTACATTGTGGTAGTCGAATTCGTCACAGTTGCCAGTACTGATACTCGTGATGCTGGTCCGGCGGCGTCCTTCGCTGCTCGAGACGATGCTCGTGGAATCACTGTCCTTGCTTGTAAGCCTCTCGTTGGCGCCTGTCACGCGTTCGCTCTCCCGCGTGGGATGAAAAGAGCGTGCTTCCTGTGCTGCAGCCACCTCATCTAAGACGACCTTCAGCCGACCTTCAACCACATGAATTTTCCGTTCCAGGGTTCTGCGTTCCCGGTCCCAATTGTCCTTCTCTCGATCCCACAGCTGCACTGTTCTTTCTGTCTCCTCTTCAAGACTGCGAGCCTTTTTTTGTGCTTGCTCCTGTTTCTTGCGAAGATCTGCAATGTTTGCGAATGCTTGGTCCCGCTCCTTGGCGAGTTCACTGATAGCGGAGGACGAGCCACCTTCCAGAAGCTGCAGCTGCTGCTTGAGCGAGCGAGACTCTTTCATGCTCTTCGATAGTCGTTCAGTAAGGCTGCCATTCTCTGTACGTGATTCGTCCAAAGTATGCTCCAGACTTTCAATCGCCTTCAGTTTACTCTCCACATCTCGCCGGAGCGAAAGGATTTCTGACACCAAAGAGGCATGCAGAGTTGGGGTGAACCGCCGCGGATCTAGCGGTGAAAGATTGTCGTCCTCCACATTATCATCATAGTCGCTGAGACCCGGGGGCGAGAAGCTGTGAATTGGCAGTGAATTGAATGAGGAGAGGTCACTTAAGTCCACTTGTAATCGAATGGACGGGGCTCTTGGGGGTGTAGACGAAAGAGGTGGAAAGCTCTTTGCCACTGGAGAGCTGGTATATATGCTATTGGCGGCCATTGCGTTCGTAACAGAAGAGATAGCTTTGAAGAAGCTTCCCCTTGATGGTGACGGATCAATCAGACCTTGCCGGAATGTGTCATGCAGCATCCATGTATGCCGCGTCTCCTGAGTGGCGTAGAATAGCTCCGCCGACCCCTCGATGGAGAACAAGTAGTCGGCCAACCAGTAGCTGTAGGACTCGATCAAGGAGACTTTCCGACTTCTAGACAACAGATAGCATTCATCATAACCAGTCAGTATTTGATGTTCAAGGGACAGAGCGAAAGGCCGAAAACATGGTTGGAGGTAGTGAAATGGCATACATTAAGCCGGCACTCGACGCTTGCGCGTCCTGTGGCCTTCTTGGGCGATTCGTGCAGAAAGAACAGGCAGATGCGGGCGTGAGGATACTCAGCAAGATATCTGTGGTATAGAACGCTGCCCGTCACTTAGTGAGAGGAAGGGAAGGTGTTTGAAGTATGATGGGCGACGTGGGGGGAGTCGAACAGGAAGTATGGAGGAACAGAGGCGAAGTACTGAATCTGGTAGCAGCGCAACTGCGGCGTCGCGGACCCGGAAACACGAATGATATTTTCTTCCTTGACTTGGTTTATCTTGCCTTGCCTTGCCTTTTTTAGAAGAAAGAAAGTAAAAAAGAAAGAAAAAAACAGAACCGACAAAATTAAATCATGTACTGTACATCCCAGTAGGTCCGAGATTCTAGCCAGACTGGCTATCTGAGGGGAACGGAAAGATTATCAGCGAAGGCGTCTGTTTGATCACACCCGATTAAGCACTAAATTGGGGCTTGCGCCTGCACAGAAACCTTGTCCGAGCTTCGGATAGAGAGTCGGCCGGTCATAGTCATTGATTGGATTAGGACGAGATAACTTAGACAACGTTACAAAAGGACGAACAACAAGTCCAACGGGGTTAGCTTCAACCAGGGGTGTTCGCTAGATTAGGGGGATGTGGATGTGGGATACTTTGGTGGGGAAGGGGAACGCAAATGAGATGAGTTATCATCGAAGGCAATCTCCACGTACCTACCAATTATTTGTTAGTGAGGAGAGGTCACCAAACGACTCCACCAGAGCTTGCCACTGCTGGCCTAGAGAGCGATCCCGATCCAATCAAATCTCGATAGATAGAGATGAGGTTGTACTCGAGTAGGGCGACGGGTTCGGCTGAGGATGCAGGTACATGGGGTGGGAGGAGGAAGAAAGAATGTGCGGACTCTACGGAGTAATCAGTATGAGTGAGTACGTAGAATCTGAAACGCTGTGACAACCTAACTTTGTTATGCTAGTAACTTAATCAGCTCTGTTGATTCAGCCAGTGGGGAATAATAAAAGGAGGCGGCGGAGGAAGCAGAAGATGAAAAAGAGGAGAGAGAACGACGGCGCGCGTGCCGGAGGTGGGAGGGGGAGAGGAGGGGAGAGAGGAGAGAGGGAGGGAAAAGGAGGTCAACCATCTTGCCTGTCCATTTAGGCGGAAGATCGTCACTGTCTGTTTTCCATAATCCAAAAGAGAGGGACAAGAATCACCTAGTTTCATATATCATGAAAAATGGATGAACAAAATGGAGTCCACGAACAAAGAAAACCAACCGTGTTTATCCACGAGCCATTAAGTCACTAATACAGTAGCGAAGGCTGCAGGTGCTGTAGTTAGTTAAGAGAGATTCGAGACGCAAAGTGCTAAGCACCGGTTGTGACGGGGGTTCGTGTCAAGCGCTAGGCAGTTAGTTAGTCGTGGTCCGTGGAGCTAGATACACTAACTAGTTACTCCGTACTATAGTTAGTTAGTCAAGTTAGTCCGGGACCCGCTGTTTTGAGACAATTCGCCTTTTGGCACTCTGGGTATTGAGTGTGTATCCTTCCCGAGCATCATAACTTTATGATGATTGTATTCCAGCCCTTCTTCGTTGTTGGCCAGGTTGAGCAAGCTATTTTCATCTTGACCCGGTCAGGGTAGGTGAACAATGGTAGTCCGTTTGCGCATAGCGTTCTGAAGGCTTACCAGATGTCAACGTGCAAGAGAGCAAGCAGCGTTGTCGTTCGCCTCTCAGTAATCTCTACAGTGGTGACTTAGTAAGTCATCATCGGAAACGCTCTCAATATTGCGTCTACCCTCGAGTTGATCATCGAAAATCCGTGGCCCGTGTTGTAGACGCCATTATTGAACTGGTCAAGTCCGGTATCCCTCTGACTAGCCCTATGAGTCGATATGAGGGAGCCCAGCCTACAAATAGACTCGCGCAATATTCTAGGAGGTGGATAGATCAACGTACGCTGGTGGACCGTCGAGCGCGCTTCGATGAGCATTATGCTGGTGTAGCGTGCCTCGTGCTTTTCAATTGATGTCGGAGTTGGAAATATCCTGGAGGATCGAGCAAGGTCTGAGGGGGAAAACGAGCATAGAAAACCAGCCGGGAAGGATCCTTGGATGTTGGGTCGGCCCAGCTCGAGCTCCCCACCCCTTTTTTTTCGCCGTTCCCTGGTTCAGGAATAGACACCAGAGGCGACGGACGGGCCGGCGCTCAACTTTTGAGAAGTGACCCCATTCCGGAAATTAGAGGCGGAGCAGCGACAAGCCCTTGCTTAGCCTTGGTGGTCGAATCGCCGGTGTAGTTCTTCCTTTGACTGCTCGTATGCGCTTGAAAATGGGCTGAGTTTTACGAATCTGTCAGGCAGCACAAATCTCGGACCTGCGGGTCGATATTAATATCATAGTGAATTATGACCTTGGCGGGCAATTGGGGGACGGGAGTTTTCGCAGGGCCTTTCAAGGTGGAAGTTTCCCGTTAAGCAATGCGTCCGTTCGCATTCGATCGTCATCGAAGGGCTATGATGATGTGCACTAGGCAGGTTGTGGAATTAGAGAACTTGCTTATAGCATAACTATCGGCCGTCAGTCAGCCTGGAGCTTGAAATAGATGAACGTGGAGAATAAGTAGTCTGTCGCAGACTCGCAGCTACATAGTAACTTAGGTACGGTACGTACTCCGTACTGTACCATAAATCATCCAGACTGGCTTTATCCTTGGCGACCCACGCGGCAAAACGACTAGCTTTTGCGCCTGCCGGACGCCGGCTCAGGGGCAAAAGCGCGCGACTTGGAACTGACAGGTCAACCGTGCACGGAAAGAAGTGTCTCGGATGCTGAGGGTTGTCAGTCAGCATTGAAATAACTGCCCACCCACAGCAATGCTGACCTCGATGCTGTCGAAGGAAAGAGAGGGCATTTACGGAGTAGATATCGGGTAGGTAGGCAAGATACAGCAGTACCTAGTACCTAGTAAGTTACCTAGCATTTTCAAACCTTTCTCCCTGGATTTATCAATTGGTTAGGACAATGCAGAAAGAATGAAAGAAGAGACAGCCGCAAGAAAGAAACACAGTACCTACTATGTACAGTACGTTTGCTTGGAGACCCCAGGGGGATGTCTGGGTCGAACACTGCAACGCACTGGGATTGCGCCGTTGAACGCGGCGATCATTGGGTTGCAGCTGCGGCTGTCACAATGACCAAATAGAAGATGACTAATGCAGGGAGCCAGCCCTTCTCCTCCCCTCTCTTTCTTCACTTGACCATGCAATAATAACTACCTCATTTTAAAGCTTGGAAAGCCTTCCCGACCGACCTTCGACCTAAATGCAGAAGGTCTTAGTACGCTAATGATGAGATGTGATGGCCCTCGCATGATTATCATTCTAGTCCATCAAACGAGATTGATCTTATTGCCCCCTTGGTGAGATTCCTATTTGACCCGATGTTTCTATGGGAGTATGGAGCGACTACCTACCTATGGAGTACGGAGTACTAATCAACTCAATGCAGGTCATTGGTCATTACTCATTACGTATAACTGCAGTAGTAAGTTAAAGTTAGCTATGGACTCTAACCAGCTTACCCCGCCACGTCTTATCCTCGGCTCGACAACCACGATCTGGGACGTCGATAAATTGCGCTATCAGGCTCGCTCTCATTAATTGCACGCGGACTGAGTAGCTTCAGATAACACTAGACTGAGCACAGAAAGTGAGGTGAGAAACAGATATTTGAAAGCTCATCGCTACGGGAACCCATTCACGCTCTGATGGCGAACACATCAATTCTCAAAGTGCTGTTTTTCGATGTCTTTGGAACGGTTGTAGAATGGCGTCATTGTGTCGCCAACTCTCTGAGGGAAGCTGCTGAGTGCGCATTGCGAGACCCCAGGAAAACACTCTCGTCCGCTCTGCGTGCCCGCGCGACGGCCATGTCCTCCAACGACTGGCGGGATTTGGTGGAAGAATAGAGGGCATCCTACGGCTGATTCACAAGAACCTTTGACCCAACCCAAGCTTTTGTCTCCGTTGATGAACACCATTTCCACTCCATCCAGAAGCTGCTCCACGAGCAGAACTTAAAAGGACTGTTCACCGAGGATGAACTATGGGAGCTTGTTCTTACCTGGCACCGACTCGAGCCGTGGCCTGATTCAGTCAATGGCCTTGAATTGCTCAACCGCCGTTTCCGGACCTGCACTTTGTCCAATGGCAATGTCTCTCTCTTGAAGGACCTCCAACGCCATGGATCTCTGCCCTTCACGGATATTGTCAGTGCTCAACACTTTGGGGCATATAAGCCGTCGCCACAGGTGTACACTGGCGCAGCAAAGCGCTTTGGACTGGATCCCCGCAATTGTGCAATGGTGGCTGCACACCTTTATGATCTGAAAGCCGCCAAAGCCCTAGGATTTGTGACCATTTATGTGGAACGAAATGAGGAGAGTCTCACTCCTCAAGAGATTGCTCAAGCCAAAGAGCAGTATGTGGACGAGTGGGTCGATGGTGCCACGGATGGATTGATTGAGGTCGCCCGGCGCCTAGGCATTTTCTGAAGAACCCTGACATAGCGACTACATGTCAATAGACCTGAAGGTGGGCTTTTCTTGGTCTTCGTGCTCCAGAGTTGTAGGAAGAAAAACTATATACGATACGGCCCCACAGGCTCGGTCGGCTTTAACCTGGACTCAGTGTATCATGATACCTCTGGCATCGCAAGCACTCAATGTTTACACATCTCATCAATATACCCACAAACGCAAGGCCATCGCTTCGCAAGTCTGACTGCATGCTGTAGCATTGATTCTCAACCAGTCAAGTAGCTCTTGGTCTATCAGCGCAGGCCTAGTCATGTAATTCATGCGGGTTGCAGGAATGACAACATCGCGTCGATTTGTCAGCGGTCAGCACAGGTTCGTAATCAGTCCCCCAGTCTTCGAGCAGCCAGGCTATTTAGTTTCAAGATGACCGGACGGTTCTGATGCAGTGATCGTGATGGTCGATTGCAGTCTTTGACAATTCGGTGTCATCACAATGTCTGAGCAGGTATGGATGTTTGCATTACCTGTTGTTGATTAGCGATCATTATTGACTTCTTAGAAATCTGTCGTACACTCTCATGCCGATGCGGACGGCCACTTCAGGCGCAAACCAGCTGCGTTTCGCTCCTCTATCTCGCGTGATCCTAACGCAGAATTTCCGGCGCAGAAGGATCGTTATGTGTTATACATCAACTTTGGGTGTCCATGGGCACATCGGACTAATTTAGTCCGGTCACTCAAAGGTCTAGATGATATAGTCCAGCTAGTTGTTCTCGATCCCGAGTTGGGACCGGACGGTTGGTTCTTCTCTGGTAGATATGGGTCTGCGCCAGTGGATCCTTTGTATGGCTTCGAGAGGTTGAGCCAATTTTACTTCAAGGCAGATCCCAATTATGAAGGCCGATACACAGTCCCAATGCTATGGGACAAGAAAAAAGAGACAATTGTCAACAATGAGAGTGGCGAGATTATCCGCATGTTTTATTCCGAGTTCGACGACCTACTTCCCCATGAGCTGCGAGAGACCCACCGGCTTGGTGGAAAGTTCTACCCGCCACACTTGAGAGCTGAGATCGATGCGATGAACTCATGGGTTTATGACAAAATCAATAACGGAGTGTACAAAACTGGATTTGCCACGACACAGGAGGCTTATCTAGACAACCTATACCCGCTTTTCGAAGCACTAGATCGGATTGAAGACCATCTGGCCCAGCCAGGACATCAACCATATCTTTTCGGGAAAGAGATCACGGAAGCAGACATCCGATTGTATCCGACCATTGCTCGATTCGATGTGGCTTACTATTTGATCTTTCGGTGCAATCTCAAGATGATCAGACATGACTACCCGTTGATTGACCGCTGGTATCGGGGGTTGTATTATGATGAGACCTCACGTACCCAAGGCGGAGCATTCAAGAAGACTACGTTCTTCGAAATTGTGAGTCGGGCATTGATACATCAAACTAGGACTATCACTAATGTCATCCGATAGTATAAGTTCGGGTACCTGAAGTCTTTAGGGAAGCGATTGGGCAGCCTACAGACGATCATTCCGGCAGGCCCGGCTCCAGACATCCTGCCTGCGAGCCTATAATGTATGAGGGGCGGCATGCATGGCGCGGAGACTAATCAGTGCTAGATGGGGCGATCTGGCGATCTCCATGTGACTAACGCACTCTTATCCCATGCATACCTTCCCATGAAAGGGTGTATATTTCTAAGAGACCCCACTTGCAGTACTGTTTCACAGCTATAGAGGCCCTGACATGCTATCCTAAGCCAACGCCATTGTCACGGAGATAGGGTAGTAATTCACCTTTTCATGATCTCGATGCAGGGATAATAGGTTGCGAGGATCGTCGTGCCTCCTCTCCTAGTTGAGCCGGGTGATCTCCGGAGCTCGGGCTGCAAACAGGGTTCACGCTGGCTGAAAGGTCGGTTCAGGTCGAATATATTAGAAGTTAGACAGAGTCAGTTGGCAGTGTTCGAGCACTCCTGGCTAGTAGATCGCAGTGTGTTTCACCAGTTCCAACGACAGAGTGTTCCAGCTCGATACAATATACCAAGACGCAATTGTCCAGATAACGGACTAGCTTACCAGAAATGTCCCAACCACGCGAGAAACAAGGGTTCACAGTCGTATCTAACAGTTTCAGAGTCATGGATTGGACTTTGCTCGAACAGAAAACTCATTGGATTTTGTTTTCATTGGATGTCCAGTTCCGATGGCGGCCAGGCATCCGAGAAGCCATGGAACTTAACTGAAACGCACGTGAGGTCGGTGCACTGGTTGGGTGCCTCGAGTGCATCGGGTACATCCAGGGGGCAATTAGGTAAATAAGTACTAGGTAGTGATTAACGTAGGTACGTAGCATAAGGCAGGTGGAACGGGAAAGATCCACGATCTTCTTCTTTATACTGTACTCATACTAAACTCTACTCTCCTCATTATTCCATCCAGCGTCATCTCATCTCATGCTGCAAGCCAGGTTAATATACGACCGGACAGCCAAGGATCAATTGCTGTCGCTGTATCCATGGGAGACTTGGCATTCTAGGTATCTCCACCACCACCACCTCCTCCTCCTTACCCCTTCTCCTCTCCCCTAATGCCATCATAGAAAGTAACTATTACCGCGCTTTTTGGTTGTATCTTTTATGTTGACTATCCACGTCATGTCTAATTTGCTTTCGTCACTTTTACGAGATCTGCTGTTACCATACAGAGTGTAACGGAGTGGTAACAACTCGTAACAACTCGTAACGACTGGTAACCAACTGTCAAGGTGCACGGGGAATGGCCATGTGCTCGAGTGGGCAGGGGTGGTTGCCGCAAGTCAGCGACCGTCCCATAGCGGTGGGACGCCGGCCCCTGATCTCGTTCTCCGTATCCATGATGGTTTTTATCCACCCACGGTGCATATGAATGTGTAGTACTCGGTAGGGTGCCTTGAGAACGTAAAAGTGGAACTGGATTAGATAATTTGAGATCTGCCGGTTTTATCACAACCCATGATTGGCATTCGTGGAAGAGCTTCAGATCATGCCTATAGAGGAAGCGGTAAAGGTAAATGAAGGCGGTCATAAAAAGTTGCCACTGGCCCACATTTACGTTCTCAAGGCACCCGGGCATAGTATGTTCCTAACTTCCTTAGCTGCATATCTATCAAAGTACAATAGTCAGTATGAAAAGACGATGACCTATGTCTAGGGTCTGTAACTTATAACTAGGTACATGTAGTTAGTTATCACAAGCCGGCCTATTTAGGCACCCTAACGATGACACGATGGTTGATGATTGATGCAGCATGATTTATCATGGCTGGTGATCATGGATGACCATGGTAGCTGCCTATTGAGAACTAGTGCTCTCGAAATCTGCTGTTGAAGAGGACCGAGTCAGTTAAATTGGGAAAGGACACATACTCACCTGGCAGATTACCAACGACGTATCGACAGTAATGAGTAAAGTGATCTAACTGATTCGGGATTACGGACCGCTGCGGTGCAGTCTCCGAGAGCTAGTAGCATTCCACGTGGGATGAAAGCCGGGGCTGGGAAATTAGATAGGCGGAAGAGCTGTGGTGAACCTCGCCAGGAAACGCCGCTGTATGCTGGTTCATATTAAGAATAAATTTGACTGTTATTCTGGTTCACCATTGGCAAGAGCCCAGGCTAATTGCTTGCTTGATAAGCATTGGGTGGAAGGAAGGAACTCTTTCTGCCAATCGTGTGTTCACTCAACCAACGCTGCTTGTCGGCCTAATTAGCCGCCGATCCAAATCCTAGGCTCATCTGTCTCCCCTTTTGAACATTCATCCTCCATTCCAGCAGAGTTGCCAATCAATCAGTCAGTCAATCAGTCAGACAGACTGGCTGGGTTACTGGAACTGGAACAAGAACCTCCCGTGCTCACACTATGGCTCGGCCCGACATCTGTTTCTCTGTTCCGGCTGCGCCTCAAGTTCTCGCCGGTACGTGGAATCCCTGCTAGGAGTCGATTCATAGATAGTAGCAGGAGACGCGGTAAACTGATGTAATAAAAGCCGAGTGCCTTCCAGAAGCAATTCAATGATTTTTCTGGAAGCTCATCAGGTTGGAGTACCTTCCGTGTACCGAGAACCGATGTGATAATAGGGGTTAATTGGGATCCACCGGGCTGCTTAGCTATCACGGATTATCCTTTTCCACGGGAGGCCCAAACTAGACTGGACTGGCAGAGGGTTCGCCAACTTCGCCTAGACGTCATATACTTAGGAAAACTGCTGCTGAGCTTCGGTTCTCCTCAGCACTCAGGAGATAGGCAAAGGGAAGTGTGTAGATACATATGGTATGGCAGCAGCAGCAGCAGCGGCAGGATGAGAAATGGGACGGTATCTTGTTACACTCTATCTAGTTTCCTTTCTTGCCCTCACCTCCTCATCGTTTCATGTCGCTTTTGTTACCAGAGAAAATTCTGACATGGAGTGCGACTTTCTTGGAGGTGGGATGATCCTGGGACCGGGAAAGTTACGCTTTGGGAATCCCGATAATCAGGAAGATGGGCTTTAGTCTCCTTCTACGGGGCCGCGGAATATTCTACCCTTCTCCCCGTAGCACTTGTGTGGAACAACGATTTCTAAGGACATCACCAACAGTGAAAATCTCCCTGCTGCGCGGGACGGATGGGTCCTCGCCTGTTTTGCATCGTTTGGTCCAGACGATAGCCCATAATTGCTGTATACTTGAAGGCATCCATCCGAACCTGAGACACATCCCGAATCTCTTGCTTGCCACCAGGTCAATTGACCCTGCGCGATCTAGAGTGTGTGACAAAACGTCCTGAAGCACGGGTGATACCACATCAGACTTGAGGCAAGACACATGAGTCTGGTATGCGATTCCTGACCGACCGGGTGTAGTCTAATACCACCGATACCACGTCTTTTCTCTGTGTGTGGGGAGCAGCCATGAAGGTACTAGTGCCGTTGAGCACCCACTTCGTGTCTACCCGAAACCATCCTGAAGAA